AAGTGTGCTGCTTGCCCCCACATCCCCCCATCTCCCGAACTCTTTTTAACGGCTTCACTTTAATATGTATGCAAATGCACCGTCTTCCATCCCCTTAATTGTCTGGCTTCCAGCAGTCAGGCTGCATGAAAAGTGTTTGTATTTATGGCTTCTCAGCCCTGTGCCCACAGCTGCCCATCCCTGACGCCCCCACGACCGGGAGAGAGCGCCAGGCAGCCGCCACGCCCCAGCACCACTAACCGTGCCCGTGTCGCCGTGGCCCATCCTCATGCCCAACGCACTGTGCTCCCAAACGCCGGCACGTTGGTACATGTAAACCCCGGTACCGTGCTTCCGGCGAGCGGCCCAGAAGCGGCTTGACACTGAAGCATCGCCGGAGAGATTCCAAAAATTGACGGTGGGGGGAAAAACAGCAAAAATAAAATCTCGCTCATCAAAAAAATGTATGTTGTTCAAACACTAGACTGACTTTTTTTGGCTTCTGATTTAAGAGGGTGGGGTTGCTGAGATGGGAGGGGTTTTCAGATGCCTACCTTTGGTCATAATATTGGAGCCAAAAAAAAATTATTGTTTGTTTATGTCACCTAATGCAGTCTGCAAGCAGGGCATTCATAGAAAAGAAAAAAATCTAGACCCTTTTCTACAAGCAGGCAAGTCATTCCAGATTTAGTCAACAACAGCCTCCAGACGTAAGGGTATGTGGGGTTACAGCACATTGCCACACCCACCGACCCACCTCAGGGTGATACCTCAGCACCACACTAGTCCAAATGGAGCAATGTGAGTGTTTTCCAGCGGCTGGAGTGCCAATCCTGCCACCAACCCCCAAATTTCCCTGCAAGTCTGAGGACCTCCTTACAGGGCTGGATGCAGATTAACACCATACCCAGGAATGAACAACTGCAGGTTAAGGGCCTTGCTCAAGGGCCCAATGGAGTAGAATCACTCCTGGCATTTCACAGGATTCAAACCAGCGACCTTCCTATTACTGGCACAGACCCCTAGCCTCAGAGCCACAACTCCATCCAAGGCACTAGGCCGATAGAAATGATTATCTTTTTTTCTAAAAAACATCGTTACTCACACCAAAAGATGTAAGGGTGTCAGGCAAGGTTATCTGCTGGTGAGGCTGAAGGGGTCACTAACCTAACCAGGTCTAGTGGGAGGGCTGGCTGTTCCTTGGAGAGTGGAGACGAGATCCTCATAACTTCCCTCCCTTTCACTAAGACAACAGATGTAAATGTAAGGAGATGCTTTTAAAAACTCTGAACATCCTAGCAACTCAGCAGTATGAACTGAGGCACATTTGAAAGCACTAATACAAGTATTTTTTACATAGATGTATTATACTTGTGTGTTGTAATGATGCAGCTCTCAACACCAGCTCAAAATTAAATGCTAATTGTTTTGGCTGTATTGTTCTTTAAGTAACTGAAAAACATCTCTGCCACCAATTACCACATCGCTGACTACCAGTGTACTGCAATATGAAAAACATAGTCTCCTTGAAAAATTATGCAGATTAAAGGTATATTTCAGCAGCTTTATTTGGAAGGTTTGCTATTGTGCTCGACCACAACGTTGTACATACATCGCAAGAAAGAAAAAAGAAACACTCCTGTACATGAGGACGTAACAACAGTGGATAAGTGTCTGATGTTCAGCTTAACATAGTCTGCCATGTGGACACTTTGCCCCTGTGGTTTCACTCCTCTAAAATGGCCCTCATAGTTTAAGATCTCCATTGCCTGTCTGATAACAAGACCAAAGTCTGGCAGGAGCTGTCCACTTCTCTGCGATCTGCCCACTTTCTGTGGCGTGTGAGTGCCACCCGTCTGGTGCAAGGAATCATTTACTCAGCACTTATCTTCGCCTACTGAGGCCAAGGCTTGTCCGCTCCTCCAGCCTAAAGTGCCGGGCCCCTATATAGAGGGAGATTCCCAGCGCCCAGCACGTTGTCAGTCAACTGTTAATCTCAGACACGGTTACCATATTGGACCCTTTGTTTCATCTTGGAGCAAGCAGCGCCACAAGCAAAACAAAAATCACAATGCATATTTTCCCCACAACAATTCCCTAGAAGCACAGCTTGAGAAATCGCAAGTTTTAACAGTTAGGGTTGCACTACACATGGTCGAAGAAGCCGTGATTCTGGAGGCATTAGGTGAAAAAGCCGTATTGACTCTATGTAATTCAAACCTAGGCTAAAGGAAGCATGCGTGACACGGACTTAATTCCGAGGGTATTTGCTTGGAATTACTAAATTCCAATTATTAGGAGCAAATTAACAAACGGGAGTTGAATTTTAAATTACATGAATACAAATTATTCTCATGAAACCCCCAGTCGCACACAGACAGTACCGTTTGTAGCAATTTACAAAAACATCCTAAAATGCAAAACGGATGACATTTGGGATGTTACGCGGTAATCTGTCAAATCCATCAACCCCATATTAATGAGGCAAATGCCCCATAGCAACGATTTTTAAAATTCTTAATAAAATTCATTTTTTAATATTTGCGGAATAACGGCAACTTCGCTTACGAACCGAAACACACTGAATGACACAGTTACTAACCAATTAATATTCCAACTTCGAAATCAACACTTATGCTAAATTAGCCGCGTTTTGTTAATCAATTTTAATAAATAAAACCCTTATCAATCGACACTGTATCTCGATATAACTAATCGAATATCATAAGATGTTTTAATAATATATAATCCAAAAACACATGTATATGGGAGACATCTCTAGCAAAAACAGAAAATCTGACCAGGCATCTAAGAGAACTGCTAGGTAGCTAACATGTAAAGGCAGCTAAACCTATGGCAATGTTAGCGCTGGCTATAGCAGAACTACGCAAAAATGAGTGAGAAGACCCACGGGAGAAACACTGACATGTTTACTTCGGAGCACCAGCTAACGTTAGCGAATGGGACAGGACGGTGAGGCGCCCTTCTCTCCCTCGCCTCCTTCTTCTGCGAAGAGCATCCCAAAGTCACACCTCATCACTCAATTCTGAGAACGAAAGCATCAACAAGCCAGAAAGAGAAAAAAATGCACAAAAAAACCTCTCGAGGGTAAAGGTCGTCACCGTGGCAACGCGTCGCCCATTGGCTGAGCCCACAAAAGCGCTTTCTTTGCGGCGCGATGATTAATGGGCCGTTGGCGGTCGCCGAGCTGCGGTTTAGGAGCGCCTCACAGCTGAGCAGCGGTGATTCTGCGTGTGATTACGGGCTTAATGAGGACGCTGCTAAATGTGTCCGATTAAGCCTGAAATGATCATACAAAGCCTTTCTGCTGATGATCACTTAAGTCTGAGACGCTCAAAAAGATGCGAAGTACTCGGTGAAGTGAGCGCGCTGCTCTCTAGCGCACACTTATCGCCCCCTGATATGGCCGAAAACCTGAAACCGTCTGAAAAGTTATGTGGATTTTGTTGGTAAATTGTACGGTTGGCTCATAAACCCCACTTCTGCGTAATTAAACAACTTAATACCACACGTAAGAAAAAAATGTTATGGCGTCAGCCAAAATTTGCCTTTGGCTGACAGGGACAGAATGACACAATTCCTTGCCTAAGAGGGTCTTTAAAATGACCCGCGGTATCCCTGAGTGTCCAAATTTCCACCTACAGGAGCAGCATATCTCACAAATGTGCACCTGCTTATAGACGGTTTATCAAGACTGCTGAATTGTAACTTACTATTGATATCAACAAAGGTTGTACCCATGAAACAGCAATTTTCTGTGAACTTAGCAAGTGAGCAAGTTTTTAAAATGTTTCTTGGGTTTATATTAAACCAAGAACTCCGTGGTTTGTTTTAGTACAACCAATCTGCTGGATTTCTCTGTCCAGTTCCATCTGGAAGTCATTTGGATTAAAATATTTGATGCGACCTTTGCACATCACATACAAATGAACTATTTTGTAACAAAGACGTTAAAAAGGTAGACTCCTGAGATGTCAAGCATGTATCAAGTAATATGGGTATTTTGATCAGACCCTCATCAAGGAATCGGTTACATTTTATGATGCAAATAATTGTATTGCTCTGATTGTGAGAAATAAAATAGCAATCACTTCAGATAGTCTGTGGAAGACACAGAAGTGCCATTAGGTTTATAAAGGTACTTTTTTGGCTGTTTTGAGAAGTGAAACTTTGAAAATTGGCTGGTTAGTATCTACTGAGGACATTTATTAGAATGTCAACTTACACAAAGTCAGGCTTCAGTACTGTTACTCACTGGGGATCCCACTCATAGAGGGATTTACAACAGTACTGCTAATGTTTGCTTGGGGATCAGCGTGTGGTGGCACCCTGCTCATTGTTTCTAAATAAAGCAGGCAGGAATAGAAAATGAAACCAGAACTAATGACAGGTTAACGATGGCATTTTGCTTCAGTCTCCCAGAGTATTTTAGGACCAGAAGCTTGGGCTGTAGATCTGATGCAGTCAGGCTGCAGTACCTAAATGCAGGGAAGCTCCTTTCCAGTAACTGCAAAGGTCTCTTCATAAATGGCCATGTTTTTTCATGAGTCATCCAGGGTTGTTAATTTGCAGTCATTGCCTGTTTGACTGTAAGGCAGAATATACACTAAACACTTTCATCTGGTTTTACCGCTAAGGCTGGGGTGTCTGGGGGTCCTTGGGTGACTTTTCAGCTATTAATTGTAGTTCTTATTAAAATAATGACTTCATTTGAGCAAACTGAGTGGTTAACAATTATAAAGACTTGATTTTTGTACATAACAAAAACCAAGCCATTATTTAGTCTTTATTCCACTGCTACTAGTATTAGTACCACTACTAATAATAATCAGGATAGAGTGGGTGGCAGCATGGTGGGTAGCAATGTTGTCTCTGCTCCACGTGTGGAGTTACCATGTTACATGGATTTTGCGTGCTCTGCCACAATCTAATGCACTTAGGTGAACTGCCGTATCCGTATTACCCAGAGTGTGTGCCATGTGGTGAACTAATCTCCTTTCCAGGATGTTCCCTGACTTATAATAATAATAATAATAATAATAATAATAACAACAACAAGCATAAATGAAATTGTGTGAAAGAAAGGATAATCGTTTGCAAATGTACTTTCCATCTAGTTTTTGTTTGCATTCTATCTCTTAAAATTAATAACTGAGCTTCTTGTTAACATAATGCAGGATTTTTAACTTCACATTATTCCCACATAATCATTACTATTAATGTACTAATACTATTAAACTAATCTGTTAAGATGTTGCATCTTTTAAAAGTATTAGTCTTTGGGTGGCTATGTTTTTTGTGCTTGTAAGACTTGACTTATCTAGTGGCGTATAATTAGAGTAATTAATTGTGCGGTAAAATGACTTCTTTGAAAGCCAGTTTTTATCCATTTACACCAACTGAAATTTTATTGAAGTTATTTAGATTAAGGTTAGCAGCATAATCCATACTGGAATTGGGGCCAGTTTCAGGGTACATTCATGTATGTATCCATTAGTACAAGCCATACCTGTGACCTTTGTACACTTGTTTTATACAGCTGCTTGTTTGCTGTTCAATATTGTAGCATTTTTATGCGAATCATCCATATGTTTTGCAATGTACCTTTCGAATTATTGCTTGTATGTGCTCATTCACCACTTTATTAGATAGACCTGTTCAACTGCTTGTTGAAGCAAGTATTTAATCAACCAATCATATGTCAGTAATTCAGTATATAAGATCATGTGGATACATGTCAGGAGATTCAGTTAATGTCCACATCAAACACCAGAATGGGAAAGAAAGGTGATTTAAGTTATTTTGAATGTGGCATGGTTATTCGTGCCAGATGGGCTGGTTTGAGTATTTCAGAAACTGCTGATCTACTGGGATTTTCATGCACAACCATCACTAAGGTTTACAGAGAATGGGCTGAAAAAGGAAAAACATCCAGTGAGCAGTGGTTTTCTGGGTGGAAATCCCTTCTTCATAGCATAGGTCAGAAATGAATGGCCAGACTGGTTCAAGATGACAGAAAGGCAACAGTCACTCAAATAACCACTCATTACATCCAAGGTATGCGGAAGAGAATCTCTGAATGCACAACATGTTGAACCTTGAAGCTGGCGGGCTACAGCAGCAGAAGATCGAACTAGTGGCCACTCCTGTCAGCCAAGAACTGGAATCTGAGGCTACTGTGTGCACAGGCTTACCAACATTGGACAATGGAAGATTTGAGAAACTGTATGTTCAAATGAGACTTGATTTCTGCTGCGATATTAAGGGTCAGAATTTGGCGACAACATGAAAGCATTGATCCATCCTGCCTTGCATCAACAAGTCCGGCTGGGGGTGATGGTGTAATGGTGTGGGGCATATTTTCTTGGCACACTTTGGGCCCTTTAGTACCAATTGAGCTTAGTTTAAATGCCACAGCCTACCTGAGTATTGCTGCTGACCATGTCCATCCCTTTATGACCACAGCCTACCTGAGTATTGCCGCTGACCATGTCCATCTCTTTATGACCACAGCCTACCTGAGTATTGCCGCTGACCATGTCCATCTCTTTATGACCACAGCCTACCTGAGTATTGCCGCTGACCATGTCCATCTCTTTATGACCACAGCCTACCTGAGTATTG